TTTTTGCAATTAAGGACAGAAAGTTACTACCAGCCAGCACTGCAATTTTATTTAGTATAAGATATATTTTGGCCTGCTCAGCACACAAAAGAGAAAAATCGTTTTAAACTTAAGCTGGCTTTCTCTCAGCTTTAGCATGAGGATGTTAGTCATTATTATTCTTACTCCAAATAATTAGTAGTATTTTAAATTGCAGGTCATATTTGTGAAAGGCTTGAGATAGATGACTCTGGGACCTTCTGCTTTCCAGAGAGACACTGAACTGACTGATTTCACCCAAACTTCACCATGAAAATTACCTCCCCACAGCCTTAGACAGACTAGGACCATCCTCGGGCAGGAAAGCCTTTAAGTCTGGACTTCCAGAGCTCCTGCAGGCCACTTTGTGTTTCACACCACACACATGAAGGAAGATGGTCTACATCCCATGGGGCAGACTAACCCTAGGGTGTTCTTTCAAAGAAAAGTCCAGTCTTTTCAAAGATTCTATGAGAAATGCCTAGAAATGCCTGGTGAATGATCGCATCTGCACTGAGAGACTTAACAAGTGAGAATTACAAATATGAATTGGAAAAAGAAAAAATCACAACTAACTGCAGAGCAGAAGTTAAAACACCCATATCTTATCCACAATGAAGTCAGGTCCTGCAGCCACCCACTCAGTGGATGTCCATAAGAGGCAGCAGCGATGCTACAAGAGTGTGCGTTTATTGCTCTTCCAGAAAAGTCTCCACAGGGAGCTCCTGACTGAGGCTCAGGCACACAGAGATCTGTGTGGTGGCTGTTCACACAGGCTGGGTGGATTTCTACTTGCCTCATCAAACTGTTCCACCTGATCCTCATAGAGACAATGTTATCTCTGAGCCATGGGCCAGAGCCTTGTGTGTGCAAGTTCCAGGTTATTCAAAAAACTGTGAGCAACATGTGATGAACCAAGGAAGAATGTGCAGCAACATGTGATAACCACTGCCACTGGACATTCACTGAACATACACACATTATGGTAGTTTTCACAGTGTCCCCCAGGGCTCACAGTTTGTCTGTCTTCCTTTTCCTGCCCATGGTTTTATTAGTATCACAACTCAGTTTCAAGAGTTTCTTCTTAGCTGAAGCATCTCTACTGAAAAAGATCAACAGCAACTGGATTTGAAAGGCTGAAGAAGTAAAGAATTCAAGCTGGATCTTGAGGTCTGGTTGAACAACATTACGAATCAGTGTCTTCGAATCAGATGCTTTGCTGGGTCAGCCAAGTCTCATTGCCTCCTGCTGATGGCTCTCAGATATAGCTTCAGCGGGAGGGGATGGCTGCAAATTGAGATGGTGTTGATTTGTGGTTTTTGGATAGCTGGTATTGGTCTCTGAACTGCCAGCTACCAGGCATCCTCAGTCAGCAGAGCCATATAAACACTGCAATATTGAATTCTGCAGCTCCTTAACGCTCAGTTTGATCTCCCGTACCTGCTTGGTTTGATTATCTTCACACCTTTCCTAGCTTCACAAGCAGGCTGTTGTTCAGAAACAACACCTGAGTCATGGCCATTCTTGTAAAAAAAAATCTCTTGTTAGATAATCCAGGTCAAAAGTGCACATGTTAAAGTTTATTATTTGTTATTTTTGCCTTCATTATCCCTTAGTTTAAAAAAGCCTCTCTTCCAATCAGAGAGAAGGGAAAAACGCTGCAAGACTTAAGGGAACCTTGAGACACTGTAGGAAAATGAATAGCAAACATCTGAATCATAAAGGCCTGTAAACTAACTAGTGTTCATCAGACTACTCAGTAAAGATTTAAAAATAAAAAGCATGATTGAACAGTTCAGCATCAGATTGCAAAAGATTTCTCTTTCTTAAAAAGAGCTAAGTTTGCTCATCTATCTATTTAAAACAAGCAAGGAGATAGATACACATTTTTTGGAAAGAATTTGTATTGTAATTAGTTAGGCGATATAGAAAACTCATCAGCCAGGAAAGCCAATAGGGAACTACTCCTTTCAGCTCCTTTGTTATGTGCAAACCCACCTCAAACAGTGTTCACTTGGAACCAAAATACTAAAAATCCCATTGCAAGTGCTCTCCAAGGTTATATGATGAAACAGTAAGTACTTTTTTTTTCTTTTTTCTTTTTTTGACTTCCTGGACACCCAAGGTTCCCGGTGTTTTTTAAACCTGGCTCCACAAAGCCAAATGCCAGGTGTTTGCGGAAGTCCAGCTGTGCAGGGCACCGCCGTGGCAGGGCTTCAGCCGTGAATTCTGGGCTCAGATTGTGCCTGGTCACACAGTGGAAGTGAGAGGACTGTGGTCCTACTCCAGTTTTGAGTGCAAGGTGAGCTAAGTAATTAATTAAATCAAAAAAATGAAGAAAGAAGTAAAAATTAAAAAAGAAAATCCTGCAATTTTGTTGTCGTAGGCAAATGCTGACTAGAAGATATTTAGGACTGTTCACATCACTAGTGATGTATGCTATTGATTGGACACTGAAAGAGTAGAACAGTTCTGCTCTCCCAGTGTCATAATACTGTTGAAAGTTTGTCAGAGAAGATAGCAACACCTTAGGGATACAGCATGAAATCTCCCTCATTTGGTCTTTTTCTGCTCTGCCCTTACTCAGTCACTGGTCCCAAGGGGATGGGGTCCAGAGGGACTTCACCCAAGGCTTGACACTTCAGGTGCACATAAGCATCCTTATTCCATACCATCTTGAGGATTCAGGAGATCTAACCCTAGCACAATGTTCAAAGACTTTGCACTGTCCCTGTGTCTCCGCTGCTGAGTAAAGAACTGTCCCAGCTGAAGGGAGAGCAGAAGGCACATATGCTATCATTCACTGTTTAAAAAAAAAAAAAAAGTCATCCAACACTAGTTAAGGCTGATAGCATCTAAGAGGTATAAGGCCATCTGCAATCTCTATTTGCAATTTGTTCACCAGCTTTCAGTAAAGGGTTTGTTGTTATTAGGATTTTATTTCCCAAGTGGGACATAGTAAAAAGAAAAATTAGTCTTCATATGCCAAATCGGTAACAGCTAAGAGATGAAGCCCTTGGGCCAATAACTGCAGTTTTATCAGATTTATCCAATAAAATATTAACAGGCTAAGTCTTCTCCCAACTGTCTTTTTTCCTTCCTCATAGTGATAAGTAGTTATTATCAGCCATGTTTTTCTGACGAGGGATTATTCTCCTCTGCTGCTGCAAAAGGATACAAGGGCAATAGTGGAAAGGAGAGCTTCATTTCTCACTCCATTGCCCCCTCCCACCCCCAGCATCAGTGCAGAGGATGAAACCAGCTGAGGGTGCACAAACATACTGAATTCCACACTGTTAGAAGGTGATGCCTTAGAGTGACAGAACCAGACTGGAGTTGCACAACACTTGCAGCTCTTTAAAAAGATGTATGTCTTGTCTTGTCTCAGGTCCACTGATACACATCAGTTGCCTGGCTAAGAGCTGTTCCTCCACTTCTCACCTACATTCCTTGAAATCAGGTGAAATCTCAAAAGTTATTGAAGATGGCCTGTGAAAACCTCCCAGGGCAAGCATGTCTTCATCTAGTGCCTGCTCAGGCTGCTGTTGACTTAGGCCATGAGAACAGAACTGAGGTGATTGCCCTAAATGTCCATAGTGGCTTTCACCTGTACAATATTTCATTCTCCTTCTGCCAAGAAGCTGAAACTATTATAGATTTAGTTTATAGCAGATGCATGAGAGAAAATTACTCAGAATTTTCATCTATTTCTGTCTCTCTTTCTGCATCTTCCATAAGATCTGCAATGTCATCATCTGACACGGGATAGTGTCAGAAGCTCTCCTGAGCACCACCAGTACAGGGAAAAGGAGTTTCTGGACCACACTGATCTGAAGGAAGGAGAGGAACAAGATCTTGGTGATACTATAACACACTTAGACAGCTTCACTACCTGCTTACTAATGACCAGGAAAAGTGGAGGCTTTTGAAATTGTGTGGACTTGCATCTTAACATACTTTAGTCCTGATAAAGGTGAAGCAACATGTTTTACCGAAACGTTGGGCTACAGAGATCCTGTCTGCACTTGAGGGCGACAAAGGCTTTGCAATTCCTGTTGAAGTGAAGTAACCATATCTTTGACCTGGCATTCTTAATAGATAGTAGCATATCTGAGAAGAGCATGATTCTGATGCCTGAGGTGCTACTGCTGGTTCTGTTTAGAGTAGTGGGAACAATGTTTTCATCGATGGTTACGGGATCCTGGACAAGGAGTGATGGAACCAGAAGTGGGAGGTATCATTTCATAACTGCCATTAAGCTGTGGACCTAACTGAGGGGTTGAGTCACGGTGTGTTTGGCATGACACATGGAAGTCCTCTAAGTGCAGACACAACACAGAGGCTCTGCTGCTGCTCAAAGGCAGCTCTGAACCTCCAGAGCTCAGCTTGAGAAAGCCGTCATGAATCTCATGGGCAGCACAAACCAGACATTGAATTTCCCTCTTGCTACCCATTTGATACAAGCAACTGCAGAAAGGTCTTGGACTTCTGAGTGCAGCACGGAGAACATGTTGGGCTTTGCTCTCATTTCAGCAGGTGCAGGTTTCAAGTCCTTGAAAATCGAATGGTCATTTGCTTTCCTGGTCATCTTTCACTCAGTTTTGTTCTTGCTGTCATTGGAAGCAGCACAAAAAACAGTGAAGGAGAAGGGATTGAAAGAGGGTTCCCTTTCTAATGAAAAAGGTTTTGATGAGCTGACAAGGTAAGTAGGTGCAAATCTCAGCTGTGCTGGTCCCATGACACCACAAACCCTTAGGCATAGCAAGTAGCGTTTCTGAATGCATCAAAACCTTGTCTTTTAGCATTTAATGCAAGACATTACAAACTAATGAAGAGGAAAAACGTATGCAGTGTTGCTGTAAACCAAATATACAGATGTAAAATAATTACGAATAAACTGTTCCATAAAAATGCATGTCAGTAAAACCCAGTCTGATAAAGTAATTTATGAATAATTTTGTAGAATTACTAAAAAGAATGATTTCTCGTATGAGGCTCTGGAAGTCTTGAGTCACTTTTTTTTTTCTTTTAAAAAAATGTCTTAAAACACATGGCTTTACAGCTGCTGCTTGGAAAATATACACCTCCAAAGTCTGACTTTCATTTAAATACAAATGTACAAAATGTAAACTGAGACAATAGAGAAATTTACAAAACTTTTCTTTAAAAATAATAAAGACAAAATTCAGTTCTAGTATGATGCTATTTAAATACGTGCAAGTAGTCATGTTCATTGAATTTCTATTGCAATGTTCTAAATAGATAAATCTGATTCACACAGTCTTGAGTGCCACCTCCAAAAACAGACCTGAGTGGAAAATTCTTCTCAAAATGCGAGGCTCCACTGGAAGGAATGGACAGAAAATCTCCATTTTTGGGAGATCCTTTTTTTTTTTTTTCACTCAACGGTGGAGGCTCTTTCATCCATAGAAGCTCCATAGATGATAGTGGAAGGATGTAACATGTTTCATAAAACTGAGTTGGAACTAGCTGCTTCCAGTGGAGTTTGAACTTACGTGATTTGAATTTATGTGGTGATTTAAATTGGCCTTTGAATTTGGAGAACTCTTTGAATTGTTCTGATGCTGTAGAAAGAGGAAGACAATGACAGTTAGATTCCCAAAACATGCCATGCTTCTTTTAGTCCAACATTTTTTATTTTATGGTGACAATGTACTGACTGGACTGCGAGATTTCTATTTGAAGATCTTTCGATGTAAAATATTCTTCACTTTCTTACCTGTATTTTCTATAGATCAGGAGGACTGTGATAGTTCTTGAGAAAGAAGGCTCACTTGAGCTGCAGGAGTCAAAACAGTTCTCTGCGAAATGCCAGTATCTGCTAAATCTGATTAATACAGAGGATACCTGCCGGTGCTCAGGCATGGTTTTAGTCCTACAGAAATAGATCAGTCTAAGAACGTTGTTGAGATTTGCAAATGGTGCCATGGTGCCTCCTGAAAGCTCGTATCTCATGTATTATCATCCAATCTGCTCTCTTCTCTAGGGTCTTGGTGTCCTGCCATGACTATCTCACTCAAAATTTGCATTATTTTTATGTTTTTTAAAACACATAAATCAAGGATTTTCAGAAGGAACTTATTAAAACCATAAAAGTGTTTCAAAAGGTGTTTCAGCATATCACTGAAAAATAAGTTGGGTAAGAATTTTTTTACTCCTGGAAACAGAGCTCATGAACAACACTGGAACTTCTGGTGGTAAAAACAATCTCTAAAGTTTTATGGGAAACCTGAGATATGCCATATTAGACAGGAAATTACCAGGTAACTGTGTTTGCCAGCCTGCTTTAAGACACATTTTCTTTCTCCTGGCAAAATTACCACCAGAATACAGCTGTGACATTGGGTATCTGTGGGAGTTTCCTTGTCTTAGACATAAAAGATCTCACCTGTCGTTTAAATATTCTCTGTAGCAATCCTTTCTTGGGTGGCTCTGGGGCGTAGCTTTTGTTTAGGTCTGGTGAAATAGTACCATTTGGTCCAAATACATTCAGTTCTTTGAAACACTCTGTTTCTATCATCTAGCGGAACGCAAGAAGAAAGGAAAAAAATAATTGTACATCTGCATTAAATATATTCCAGTAGCGCTGTTCACGGTCATGATGAGGATGAGCAGCTTGAGCAATACATCAGGAAAGTTAACAGTTGAACTCCTGCTGGTGGCTATAGAAGTCAAATATGATGTATGAAAAAGAGAGGCTGAGTCTGCTCTGTGTGTTTGCACATTAGTTTTATTAGAAGTTGCCCCATGAAACTTTCTGTTCTTTTCTTGCCCTGTGGAGAATATTGGGCAAAGACAAGCACACTCACAGAATTCCAGTTAGTAGCACCCTTTTGCCTATGCGGATCTGCTGTTTGATCCAGAGTTGGGTAATGAAATCCACTGTTGGCCGTGTTTTGATATCAAACAGAAATGAAGACCCAGACCTGGAAACCCTGGAGCAATTCAAGGTCCAGAGTCAACTGCTACAGCTGGGACCTGCTGCACATGAGATCAGGACTTCCAGCCACCCCACGGAAGCTCCTGAGAGCTGTTGTCAAAACATCTCTGTGGCAATTCAGGAGAAGGAAGTACCGAAGGATCCCTGCCAATTCACACAAATGTGCGGAGCCAACAGATACAGTCACCTGAACCTGACATCTGTGGTACATTACAGATCTTGAAAGAGGCCATTTGTAACTTATGAAAGCATTAGAGTCTGGAAAATTATCCAGTAGCTATATATTACTGGAAATATACAACCCCTCTTAAACCATCTGTGTTAGAGGTTTTACAGGAGTAATTTTACTATGATACATCCTTACCTCATTTTGCCATGGAATAGACACTGATCCAGTGGAAAATTTGGAATAGAAATCATCATCTGTTTGGTCCAGGTTAACTCCTTTCACTGTGGAGAATTGCTCGATGTCCAACACATCCTTGCAGTAGACTGCTCTGGGCTATCTCAGCAGAAAAAGAAAGAAAAACAGCAAGAGAAAAAATATTTCTGAGTCTGGCCATGTGCTTTCATTCATAGATTTAGTCCAGGGAGAATGCCTAACAACAAGTGACTATCTGCTTCCTGCTTCTCTAGACTTGCTCTGCCTTCATGTTTATCATCAAAGGCTGAGTTCGCTGTAAGCATATTAAGCATCTCACTTTGAAGTCCTTAAAGCATCAGCACAGCCAAAGTGGGTTGTAGTCATCCATATAGCATATGGTTAAGGGGTGAGGGGAAAAGGGCAGAAGGAGCAAGACAACGAAAATCAAAACCTTCAGCAGTCTCTTCTTTTAGACAGGGAACAACAGAACGCCAGAATGTTTATGAATGCCACATTGGACACAGCTCTGGAAAGGGACCTCAAATAGCAGTGCCCTTCTGCTTAGATAGCTGTGGAGTTTGCAGCTTCAAAGTTTAAAGGAATGTATACTAATTGTTAAAGCAAATAGAAGAGGTTTGGCATTTTTCCATTGTTTCTATTAATAGTTCAACTGCTGGAAGCTGTCCAGAATCACCTCCATTAACTCTTTTAACTTGGCTGCATTTCTTCAAACAACTAGTCAAATTGCTTTGCTTTTTCTAAGTACTTAATTTGCTGTGATGACAGAGACAGGACTTTTTGCAGTGACACTGCTTTTAGCTCATGCTCCAGCACAGTCGGCCACAGAAAGCAGAAATAGTCATCACTGGCTATCTGTCATAGCCAGTGTGGTCATCTGCTGCCTACAGAGTTCCCATCAACAACACAGTTCCCCTTTGATGCACAGGAATATTTGAGGGGTGGCTTGTGGGACTAGCCTGACCCGCTGAACTCGAGCATGTGTTGAGTCCTACTGTCTGCACATGGTACCATGACTGCACTGCCCCGGGGTCCAACCATATAGTATTTTATCTAGATCTGACCAAATAAATCGAGCTGGTTCCTAATGGCAGTCCCATTTGCTGGAGGCTGCATCCCTCTGCATCCCTGATGGCTGCAATTCACAAAATTTTTGTGGAGACGGTCTAAAAGAGGACAGGGAGACATGGGTTGGACTACAACCTCTGCCACTGGCTATATAGCTTTGGGTGATTCAGCTGACTCCAGTAAAGACTTGGAAATCTATGGATGAAGAGCCAAATAAATTAAATTAGGAGGTGTTCTTGAGTTCCCAATAAATAGCCATAAAAATTTATGTCCCTCTGCTTTAGCAATTATGTCTATACAAGGTCCCTTCTAGGCCTTATAAGCCACAGGTAAGCTTTTAATACACTCTGGTGGATCTCAAATTTGAGCCCAGATTTTCTAATTTTTTACATCAGAAAGAAATAGTAGCTTGTCTCCCATTTCTTCTCACTAAAGCAGGTCGTGACACCATGGACTAATTGGCAGGAATAACCAGGCCACATAGTAAAATGTAAAGCAAAACCAGAGCAGCTAAAGTAAACTTTTGTAGCATTCAAACCACTTCGGTTTGGTCGAGTTTGCAGCAATGTGAATGAGAGCTGCCAAGATGTTACTTTCCCTAATACATTAAAATGGCAGTGTTTACTCAGAACCATATGGGAACTTTAAGGATAGAAGGCCTAGCCAGAAAGAGAGCCCTCCAGGAGGAAAATAATCAGATAACTCTGAGCACTGGGGTAGAGACACAGACCACAAAACGGTGGAAAAATTTCGTTATTGCCAATGCAACAGACTTTCAGCAAGTGCCAGACTGGTGCGTAAAACTAAGGACTCAGTGCTGGGTTCCACGCCCCACAAACACTAACAAGTTCAAATTGCCCTCTCAGCTCCAAGTCACCTCCTCTGCTTGAGGTATCACTTGATATCTGAACCTGGCTCAGACTTTCTGTAACGAATACCTGTTTTCATGATTCCTCAGTTCCGTAGAGCTTTGGACTTTGTAATTCTGGCTTCACCTCAACATACATATCTATACATCCGTATGCATCCACGTGCCTTGCCTTGCTGATTGTTCCCAGCACCACCTGGTCCTGAACGCACTTACTTTCACTTTACTGCCATGGAGAAGGGAATACAAAGGTTCCCAGTTTAAAGTTTGGGAACTGAGGCACGAACAGACCAAGTGGTGCCTCCAGTGTCACACTGGAAGACCGTGGTAATGTGAGTGGCAATGAATCAAGGCCCAGGTTACCACCCTATGTGGGGGGCCACCCACCCTGCATGCACACATCTACAGAGCAGCTCTCCTCTTCCTCCCAGCCTCCTAGCACAGCTCCCCATGCAGAGAGTGATGACAACTCTAAGAAAGAGAAGTTACTTTAGAAATGCATCTCTTGAAAGAGGCCACTGAGGGTTCTTCCTACTGTACTTACATCAGGGACAAAGGGAGGATCCAGCATTCCTG